TAAAAGGCAGTACGGCATCAACATAAAAGTAAAAAAAAAAAACATGGGTGTAAGTGCAGATAGGAGAAACACAAGCCGTGTTGATTTTGCAGAAAGGAGATCACAGCTTTTGTATCACTCTGAGCATCCAAAGCCCCGTGGAGAGCCCCTGCTCTGCCGTTGCTCTCATCTCGCTGACAGCCACAGAACAGAGACGCAGAAATCAGGAGGATGGTGGAGGCTGGATGGGGAGAGAGGGAACATGCTGAGGGTGGAGCGCAAAAAAGCGAGAGCACGTTGAAGATGAAAGGGCTGGAGCTAAGAGGCCTTAAAGGAAAAAGCTTATGATGTTACTGCAACTAATCTTCAACCTGCATGAGTAATCTTACCTGGGGTTGAGGAGGCACTGAGGCGTGTGACTTCAGCTATGACGGCTAGCACCAGCAGTGAGCGCTCCGGCTTCACGACTGCTCACACAGTCTTGGAATAAAACTTCCTCTGACTCAGCTGCCTGGCTAAAATGACACGTAGTAATTAGGATGTTTACTCATGGATAGTATTGTGCAGATGGCTGATGAATGAATTGCACTGTCAACATGAGAGTTTTATTGGAATGTTTCTCAGTTACACCCATGTGCTAATTACCCTTAGCATTGACAGCCTAACATCTCACTCACAATCTTTGCCTCAACAGAAGCAGATGCTGCAACTGACTGAATCGTCTGTTGCACCACATCCCAAAGGTGCTCCACTGGATTCAGCACTGTGGACTGTGGAGGCCATCTGAGTACAGTGGACTCACTGACATGTTCAAAAAACAATTCTGAGATCATCTGAGCTTTGTGATATTTGATATCCTGCTAAAAGCATGAAGATGGATACATTGTGATCATAAAGGGATGGACATGGGCAGCAACAACACTCAGACTGCCTGTGGCGTTTAAAGGGTATTAAAAGGTCCAAAGTGTTCAAAGAAAATATCCCCCGCACCATTATAAATCAGCAAAAGGCTGAACAATTTATATAAGCAATGAAGGATCCTTGTGCTTCTTCTGACACCACCTTCCAAATGTTGCAGGAGAAACTGAGACGCATCAGACCAACATTTTTCCAATCTTCTGTTGTCTAATTTTGATGATCCTGTGGAAAATGTAGCCTCAGTTTCCATTTCTTAGCTGAGTGGCATGCAGTGCTGCTGTAATAGCCCATCTGCTTTAAGGTTTGACTTGTTGTACTTGGGTTGTAATGATTTACTTTTGCTTTCCTATTAGCTCTAATTAGCAGCTTAACCATTCTCCTCTGACCTTTGACATTAACAAGGCATTTTTGCTCACTGCTGCTCACTGGATATTTTTTGTCTTTTTTAGATCACTTTCTGTAAAGCCTGGAGATGGTAGTGTCAGAAAAAATCCCAGCAGATTAACAAAAAAAATCCTGACAAAGTGACCTGTGGGTGTATGTATAGATATAATACTATAATACGATATAATCCATATATTGTTCCTTGTACAGTGACCAAGGGTCCCCTCACCGACACAGAAATACAGAACCCAGGTTTGTTTGGTTATATCTAAGTTCAAAGAGCTTTGTATAGAGGAAACTGCAGAGCAAATCTCTGGATTACTGTTAGCTGTTTCTGTCACACAAATTGGATCTTATTTAATGTAAACTAGACACTAAAAACATAAAAGATTTATCAAATCTGTTCCTACTGCTATGTACTTTGGTTTGGAGCTATTTTCATGATTACATAATAAGTGTCTACATATTTTATTTGTCTGTGCTTATACTTTTGGGCTTAAGGTGTATTTCTGATTTTTTTAACTACATTATAATATATTCTGTAGCTGTCTGCTGTTATTGGCTTGTTACAACATATGCAATGTGCATAATATTGCTATACAGCCATAACAAATAATCCATCTGAGGTCTCAAAGTCATTAAGTGTATACTGTTGTTTCATCTGTTTTATGCACAATAGTAGAAACAGTGATTAAACAGATGAAAGATTCACATTATTTTACTAAATAAAGGGAACTCCTGTTTGGATAGGAGGATATACAAGGTGAAGGGGCTGAAGCTGTACTCATCATCATCATCTCACATCAAACTATTATTTATAACAAGCTGGCTGGATGGTTCCCAAAAGAAATCACGGAGAGTATTTCATCCTCTGCATCCAATAACAAAACTGATTTTTGACTTCAGCGCTGATCAAATGCTTGTTTTTGTGTACACTGTGGATCAGCTCTTTGTGGTGTGTTCATTTATTAGAGCTTGGTTAGTTCGTTTGATGTTTTCAAATAAACAATTTCTTACAAATCAGTGTGCATGTATCGTCTTTGTCTGGTTTAAATGAGGACTTTCGTATCTGGTATATGTCATGCTTGTCAAGCAAATTATGAAACTACACTGCCACCATCTGATGGTAAGAAACAGGACACTCAGTGAGATGTAGAGTAAAAAGCCAGATGCTTTTATTTGAAATGAACAGTTTAAAAACGTACTTTTACTCACAGTGATCTTATGTTTTATGATAGTTAGGCTTAAGACTAATTTATTTCGTTTTCTGCGGTTTTACAGGAAAGTTTTTGTTTGTTTGTTTATTTGTTGACAGTTGTAAATTGGGATTTTCTATAACAGACATAATCAGCTTATTAAATATGAGGAATTGAAGAAATGGTGAGGATAAACACTCCTACACTTGGTGGAGCTTAAATGTTAAATACTGTATATTTGTCCTCACTATCAAGATTTTTTTAAATATCACTGACTAACAGAAATGGATTTTTAATTGCAGCACTTTCACTTCTAATGGATTAGTTTTATGTGATATTTTTTACTAAATTTAAATTGATGAAGTAAATTATTTAGAGTCACTATAATGGAATAAGATATTTAAAATTAACTAAAGAAGACATTTAAAAAAACACCAAAATAAATTATAATAATAAAAGTCTCTGGGAAGACAATGTCACTCTTATATTTTTGTAGGAACTATTTATTGGATAAAATCTATAAATTAATTTAAATGAAACTTTTTTCACTTTGTTAGTAATGAAATATTTTTGTGTCAAAAAAAATCATCCATTAAAATAAATAGATAATAATAATAACCTTCGACTTACAAGAAGATCCGTTTTTTAATTAATTAAACAAATGTAACAAGTATAACAAATATGGCAACATTTTCAAAGACTTTTTCCAACTTGAGAAAATACCAATACAGGCTGTATTTCAATATATAAAAGACAGATAAGGAAAATAATGTAAACATAAGTAACTAAAGAAATTAATAAGACATAAAAAAAAATTCTAAGAACCGTTTTTCAACCACTTCAGTTAAACCACAATGGTACGGTCGGTTCTGGTTGCTATGGAAACGTGTAGCTGTTGGGCAAAACAGCGCAGGCGCAGAAGCAGATCTCCTGGGGGGGGGTTCCAACCTTTATTTAAAGATTAGTGCAAAACAAAGTAGAATTAAACAGTACTACATTAAAGGTGTTGTACTTACAGAAATTGTAAACCATAAGCAAGCAAACAAACAAGCAAACAAACAAACAAACATTATTCAGAACCTACATTACACATACGCTAGGGGGAGAAGTTTTAGCTGATTAAGCCAAAAAGCGAAGAGATTGAAGGATCTTCATTTTTTTCACATACAGCCATCGTTTTTATAGCTTTAGTTTTAGAAGAATTCTTAGTTGAATTTAGATATTGCAAAAGCTCATAGGAGTATACATAAAAGGAGGGATGTCTTCCTAAACATTTGGATTTGTGAATATGAATTTTAGCCATTAAGATTAACAAGTCAATCATATATCTGTTATCAATGTTGAATTGTATTTGGTTTTGGTGGAGACCAAATAATACATATTTCCAAAACAGTGCAAATCCTTTAAATACATTTTCTGAGATAAAAACACATAATCTCTACCAGAAGTCTTGTACAAGAGGACAAAACCAAAGAAGACGTATAGTGGATTCCTTGCAAGTCTTACAAAAACTACAGTTTGCGTCAATGTCTAATTTGAATTTGCTTTGAAGATAATCTTTAGATGGGTAAATTCTGTGTATTAATTTATTTTATTTTTATTCGTTCCACATAATATCATCAGTCAACCGGTTCCAGAAAAAAATTACATATGGTAGCATGGTTATACTATTCTGAAATAAAGATCTCAAAGGTTTATTGTTGTTTTTTGAATGCTTAGAAAAGCATATCTTACCAACAGTTTGTATTGGAGATGCCAATGGCCTGTGGTCTGATGGGATATTAGGTTTATTCTATAAAAGCATACAAACCCCTGACTGATAGCTAAATTGAAATGTAAACAAAATTCTTCATAGAAGAAAAGCATACCATTTGAATCGAATAACTGGTTAACTAAAATAATATTGTTCCTAAACCAACTATCTAAAAAGATAGATTTTCTGCTGTTCATTGATGACCGCAGATCATTAGCCTACGGTATTTCTGCGGTTCTACCTTCGTGCTGTCATGTTTCTGCAGCGCCCCCGTGTGGTGGCTATTAATCTTTGGCGGACCAAACTCGGAGGAGCAGGTGTGGCGACCTGATGCCGGAAATCACGGGTGCTAATCTTCACAATAAAACCACAATTTTGTTTTACCTTTGTTAACCAGACATTACTACGCCACTGACGTTTAAATACAGTGGAATCGTTTTTTTCTCAAATTAGTTAACATCCAGTCCGCACACGTTCCTGTTGCTTTTTCATCTGTTATTCACAGATTCCACAATAACACGATTTAGTTTTTGAACCCAAATTAATATGTTTCTGCTAAAGTGCCCAGCTTTTTAATTAGTGTACTTTAAGTTTTACTTTGTATCTTTTGTTCTCTTGCTGTTTATCTGTTTCTTTTTTTTCTTTCTTCCTTCCTTTAACATATTTGTATTTTTAAATCTTTATGCTCTGTCGTCTTCTTTTTCTGGTGTCTTGGTGAAACACTTATTCTGAAAAACCAAACCGGAAAGCGTTCCCGCGCGCGGACGATTTCATGAGCGGTGAGCTGGAAGTAAGACTGTCCTATGATGAGCGCGCACCGGTGCCGGCTGTGGGGGGTAGAGGACGCTGACTGAACCGGTTATCTTGGTATATCAAAGTCCTTTTTCAAAGTGTTTCGTGTTTTTAATGTAGATAAATCTTTAAAGAGTTTGACTGATTAAATAAATTAAAATAAAATCCCGAGGATGCTTACAGACATGATTGTGGAGGAAGAATTTGAGATAAAGGAGGAGGAACCGTGGTACGACAAGCAAGACCTTGAACATGGTACAGTTTCCTTTCAGTCTTTGTGTCTCTGTGCTTAGAGATAAAGATTCGCACTTAGTCTTTATTTACCCTGCAGGCAGAGAATTACAGGACTGTTACAGCTGATAATGATGCGCGGTGTTTAATATATGAATGGCATTATAAGTAATTTTAAAAATATGCACGGGCAATATTTGCATTAATTTCTGTGGGTTTTAAGTCGGGGTGGTTTATTTAGTCTGAAGTCTGATTTAGTGGAAATTTTGCGAGTCCTAGAAGTGTGCGAGAAAATCCAGGAGTCAGCAGCACACTCACATATGCGGCAAAAACAGAACCGCTCTGCCTGAATGTGCCTCTGACTTTATTCATCCTTTCTGCCTGCATGGGCTGCTTTTACGCTAGTGGCCGTGGGTTTGTGTTCCTGTGTGTGTGCAAAAATCACCTTCAGATTTTATCATGTTTTTGTCCATGTAGAGTGAAAAAGAGCTTCGCCTGTAAATGTAAAAGTGCATGCCTTTATTCCTTTCCTTAATTGAGTTTCTAAAGAGACACTTTGTGTTACTGGATTGCTGCCAACACCAACAGCACCTCTGAAAGCTGCTTGTCAGGTCTCCTTCACCATTAGTACAGAGCCATGAATGCTGAAGGACTTGCAGTTTCACCTCGCTTCGTGTCTCCTGCAGACCTGCAGCTGGCAGCCGAGCTGGGGAAGACCCTTCTGGAGAGGAACAGGGAGCTGGAGCAGGGGCTCAAGCAGATGTACTCCAACAACCAGGAACAACTGCAGGAGATCGAGGTAAATACCTCCCTTCTCTCACAAAGTATAGTCCTAAACAGAGCTCTCATTAGGCCAGGCTGTGCTGAAAACATCAAGAGATGAACCCGCTTCTCTCACACAGCTCTGATTTCCTCTTTAATGCTTTCAGGGTGTTACTAAATGTTAACACGAAACATTTTGCTGTACACAGCCATTTCTTCTTCTGGGGATGGACAGCCATGTGTCCCTTTACCTTCAAACTCCCGGAAGGCTGTGGTCCAAAACAGTAGAAGCTCAGAGTCAAAACCTTTTCTAAGAGACTTCTGACTTCCTGCTAAATTTAAGTAAATAGGCTCAGCCCGGGGGGGCTCTAAATCCATCCCTGCATTAAACTGCTGACATACACAATTAATCTCTTAAGATCTGCAGCAGACACACGTGACTTCAATGTTGACCAGTGCTAGGATCGATTTGCTGATTTACGCTCGCTCTTTGCTGGATTGAAAGGCGATTAATAAAAAGAAGCACCATGAACACCTCATTTAAAATGTACAGCTTGCCTTGTTGACTTTGGACTGTTTATGTTAGCGTGTCCGGGCAGAGTGAAGTTACTTATCAGCTGGGCTTTTTTCTTTCTTTTGATTTTACGCCAACTGATTACATGATGTAAGTTTCCTGGCTGTGACGCCCTGTTAGATAATACGTCCTCAATTAATCTGGGACTTAAGGGAGGCATTTAGGTGTTACTGGGAAATAAAATTGTCGAGCTGTTAACCTGCCAGAAAAATGCTCAAATAGCAGCATGTGGATAATAATAGTAGGTTTATGTTTACACTGTCTTACTGTTGGTCCTCACATCAAACATGACGTTTAAATATTGAGTATCTGCTCAAAATGCTTATTTAAGAATTTTGGGGGTTTTTTGTAAATCTACTCTCGACTCTGTTCGAGTCAGTGAGAGAAGATTCTTTAAAGGTGCAGAAGCTTCACCTACAAGCTGTTCAAACCTTTTGTTTGTGAGGGGCAGCCAATCAGATGAAAGTGGGCTTACAATGAGGGGAGCTTGGAAAAGAAATTCAAGCTAGGCTTTAAAGGGAGAGGAGCTAAAATATCTGTCAGCTGGATAATGAATTATTTTAAACACTGAATCATGCAAAGCTACTGTAGAAGACGGCGAACATAAAAAGATGAGTTATCAGCGATTTTTGTAATGATTTAATCATTAAAAATAGCTGCTCATTTGACCTGCTAATGACTGATAGTGTATTTGTTAACAATAATAGATGTGTTTCTCCTTTTAAGCTCTTATCACCTTTTTCTCTCGCCTCCAGTACTTGACAAAGCAGGTGGACCTCCTCAGACAGGTTAACGACCAGCACGCAAAAGTGTACGAGCAGCTCGACCTGTCGGCCCGAGAGCTGGAGCAGAGCAACCACAAACTTGTTCTGGACAACCGGGCAGCCGAGCAGAAGATCCAAGGGTGAGACATTTATCACCAGTTTCTTATTAAAAACTTTTTTTTCTTTGTTTTTGTTTTTTTACTAACTTTGTTTTCACTGGTTTTTATTTTTTCTGTGCAGGCTTACAGAAACAGTGGAGCTACTGCAGATGCAGGTGGAGGAGCTGCAGCATCAGGTGGAGGAGCTGAAGCTGAGTCCCTTTCCACCTCAGAAACCTTCACACAGAGAGAGCTGGCCTCGCAGCACTCACAGCGTGTCCTGCCTGCAGGAGCTGCAAAACACACTCAGGTGGGTAACGCGCAAACACAAATTATCACAGACCAGTGGAGCTTAAATAAGGAGTCGAGAGAGCTGACTTCAGACGGGCAGATCTGAAGCTTGCATGTGTTTATATCATCATGAATGGTTCTGGGAGCCATTTATAATGATGTCGTTTTCCATCTTCCCTGCCTAATGTTACACGCTCACAGTAAAAGGGGCCCAAACCTCCAATTATGAGGTAAATGTAAGTAAAAGTAAACACTGTGGGACAAAATTGACCACTGATATAACGATATCTCTGCACTGATTTCATTACACAGTCATCTGCTGCAGGCACAACATGCTCCATGATGACTGTATGAACATATTCTCTGAAAAACATCTGCAGGAAGTCGTATTCAGGCACTCAATCTACTCAGGGGTGCAACAGTGCAGGGAGATACTGTAGTCCTCAGTTCAGCTGATATTTTAGTTCATTTTCCACAGATACACCTTGCATAATTATTATCTGAGCCTGAAAAATGTGCTGTCAGTCCTGTTCTTGCAGGTGGACATCCAAAACCTGCTAATAATGGATAAACACCTGTAGTTTCAAACTCTATAACAGGTGAAATTTTATATATTCTGGAGACTGTGGACGGTAATTTGTCAGCTCGTTGCTGTGTTTTTGTATTTTACTCTGGTAAAATCGCCTTAATTGCTCTTTGTAGGTCTCAGGAGGAGATCTAAGCCGATCCTCTCAGCTTTAGCTTTAACCTATCTGCACTGATCCTGCTCTTCCTGGCAGTGGCTCGTTTCTACCTCGCAGAGGCCTGCGTGCTTCGTGCCCCCGTCACTTGTTCTTGATCTGTAGTGTGACGCGTTCATTCACAGCCTCAGTTTAGTCTCTGTGGTGCGTAATCCTGTTAGCAGGGCTTCTTCACAACATGCAGGAAGTCTCAGTGATAAAGTCAGAGAGCGGTGGTTGAGGTTGGAAGAAAGGAGGTCAAAGTCTCGAGCTGAGAGAACAACTGTGTCTCAATATCTGTCTGAAGTTAATGAACTCTCACACAGGCTGCCCGGTGCTACTGATAAGCCCTTGATTCCTTGCTTAGTGTGCTTTCTTTTCACCGGTCGTTACTTATTTATTGTTTTCAGCTCTTCTTTATCTTGGATATATATAAATTTTCACCCACACATCAAGACAAACGGATGAAGCTGCAGATTTGGTTTAAATTGTCAAAACGCTTAAACGGTCACAAAACACATAAGATTTAAATGCCAGATTGAACAGCCTGGCTGCTGACCTTTGACCCTTCTCCCAATTGCATTTATTGCCACCTTTTAAGTTGTTAAGTAACATTTATAAATAAGTGATAATGGATAAGATTAGCTGAGGAAATAATCTCCATTAGAGATTCTTTCGCCGGGTTCCTGTGGAGCTTTTAGCCATATCACATGGTCTCTATCAGCCAACAGGGTGCTCTCCTGGGAGTCACTGCTTTGGTCAGGACTGTAGCCAACCATCTGCTGGCTGTAGCTTCATATTTAGTGTCCAGACATCAGTTCTTTTATTTAAATACTGTATATGGAAATCGGGGTCTAAAATGCACCTGTTTGTGCAGGTACGACTACGATCCCGACAAACCCTCAAAGGATATCGAGCCGTCTACCACATCATGGCAGGAAGAGGAGCAGGACTCGCTGCGACAGTCCCTCCATGCTCTTCAGACACAGTTTGCCACTGAGCGTGCTCGGAGGGAAGAAGCAGAGCGAGAGGCTGAGCTGCTCGCCAGAGAAAATGCAGAGCTGGAGCAGCAGCTGGCCGGGATGGCAGGATGTCAGGTAAGACTGACACCAGTATCTCTCTGTCCTTAAATTTGTTTCCGACTTGCATCCATCCACTTTCTTGATCACTAATCCAATTTAAGGTCACGGGTGGCAGGTAGCACCCTGGACAGGTCGCCAGTCTAACAGTTTGTCCAACTGTCTATCTTCATCAGGCCAGACTGTCTGAGCTGGAGCGCGAGGCGGAGGAGCTTCGTCAGCTCTGGAAATCAGAATCCTCTACAAGATGCAACAGGCCAGACGTCCTCCACGGCCTGCTGCCACACACAGTGTTCCTCAACCCAGAGGAGGAGAATGACGGAGAGGCATCTTTGGCTAAAAGCCCCGCGGTCCTGAAGCGCTGGAGAAGTGAGCGGCTGATGAAGGCGACGCAGATGCCAGACTCTCCTGACAGGGTCTATGACCACGAGTGCTCCTGCGTGCGCCGGGCCGAGGTAGTGAAATATCGCGGGATCTCGCTGCTCAACGAGGTTGACGCCCAGTACAGCGCCTTGCAGGTGAAGTACGACGAGCTGCTTCGGCGCTGCCACTCTGAGGAAGACGAGCAGGACAAACTGAGCCACAAGTCAGTGCAGACTGCATCCTTCATCGCCACCACATTCCCTCCTCTGACAGGCAGGGAGGGCTTTGAGGATGACTTTCACCAGCCGGAGTACAAGAAACTCTTCAGGGAAATTTTCTCCCGCATCCAGAAAACCAAAGAAGACCTGATTGAAAGCCGGGGGAAACACTCAGCTGGGAAAGCTCTGCCTAATTAAACACTTGTAAAAAGTTAAAAGGGGGGGAAACAAGAACAAAATAACCGTCTAATAACCGTCTTCCTGTTTTGGAACAGCTCTTCGAAAGACTTTTATCTACCCAGAAACTGTGATCGCCGCACAAACAGCTTAACAGATAAGGGCAACACAGGAACACAAAGGCTAACACCACCAGCTCACGTCGCAGATGTGGCTCGTTTTGCACAGAAATACCAGTGCCTGACGCCACCGTCTCTACTGTGCAATCGCTTTACCTCAATTTGCGAAAACGTGTTCACAAACAACCTCCTGGGTGAAATTTTCTGGGGGAAATTGTCTTCCTTTAAGCCAACTAGTTTGAGTCACACAGTTTCCTTTTAGAGAAGAAGCATTCTAAAGTAAAATCATCAAGTTCCCAGTAAAGATGCAAAATTCTAGAAAATATAGAAAGTGTACGTCTTCCTTAGAGTAAATACTTCCTGGAAATCAAACCACATCAAAGCTTGAACTTAGGCTCTGTGACATTTGTTCTAGACTAAGGTAACACCCAACAAGTAGTCTGAAACATTAAGTGTTTTAATTTTACTGTCGGAGAAGACAAATATCCCAAAAAAGTACACATTCAAGAAGCTAGAGCTGGGACTTTTAGCTTCTTTATTGAAAAAACAGCAGTGGTCCACTGTTTTCTGATTCTGCTCCGTTTATGGTTACAACCAGCCGTTGATGGAAATCTTCGCCCTTTAGCCTATCGGCGCTCCACCAGCTTCTTGTTAACGGTGCGTCTCAGAGGTGCTGAGCAGGTATTGTGCTGAGACCAGAAAGGGAACAAAAGCAATAAAAGTTGTTGGCCAGGCAGCTAAACAATGACAGCGTCTCGTCTCAACTCTTTGGATCACATGATCACAATCGCTTTTATATATTAACTCCAAATGGCGTTGCTCTTTCTGGGAAATTTCCAACATCATTATTAGGAAATTATGGACCTGTGAAACAGAAGACCATGTCTGTTTTGGGATTTTTTTGTTTGTTTGTTTGTTTGTTTTTAACAGAGCTCATGTGAGCTGAAATACTTTATAATTTATGGTTTTCTTCTCCACTGTAGCAAAAAAGTGAATTTCTCGATGGTAGTTTTCCTGCACTTGTTAGAGTCACCATTGCAAGGTTGACTAAGTCTGGGTATACAATGAATGACGTATTTGTGATGGAGTTCAGAGGTGATTTTAGGTGCTCTAATATATTAGGGTTTTTGTAACTGATGCATTATCCTCCTGAATTTATACTTGATTGTCTTATGGTAGTTTAGATGGCTGTAAGCGAATGTTATAATAAAGTTTACCAAAATATTAACTGTGTACTTGATAATATAACCTGTAACGGTGTCTTGAAGCTTTTTCTTAGCAGCACTTCTGTTGCTTCTGCTGCCCGATGTTCACGAGTCCTTGTTCAGCTTAATAACTGTGCACTGCTGTATCTGTAGATGTCTGTAAAATCTCAATGAGATGCACTTTAGAATTGCACAGGCGTTTTCAATGCTCTTCTGACACTTTGCGCGTGTGTTGTAAATGTAGCTAGCTAATGCTACATGTGATGTGCTACTGTCTCCTTCAGAGACCTGAATAATCTGCTGTGTTTTTCGCTGTTTCGTGGTTAATGTTACTTCTCTGAGCCATTAAAACATGAAGCAAGCTGAGATGGAGGCGTGTGTGTGTGTGTGTTTACCATGTTTACATCTTTGTGGGGTCCAAAAATTTGAAGTTTACTGTACTTGTGGGGACCAACAGTCGTTATGAGGACAAAATCACCATCCAGACATGTCTGAAGGCATTTTTGAGACTCAAAATGAGGTTTTAGTGTCAGAGTTAGGGTTAGGCATTCATTTTTGGTGGTTAGGGTAAGCGGCTAGGCAAAGCATTGTCAATTAGATGTCCCCACAAGGGTATGAAAACACAACTGTGGATGTGTGTTTTTTGCTCTAAAATACAATTAAATCTTATCTATCGAGAAAAACGTCACTGATCCGCTTTAACAATCAGATAAAAGCTTTGAAGTCAGCCACACAGACACAGGGCTAAGGCCCAGCCCAGTCTAAAAATAAAACAAGAGTCATTACAAATTCAAATGAGATAACTGCCCTGAGCCTTGTGGGAAAATAATGGTGCTGTAGCAAGAAAAAATCAGAAGTTATATAAAAACAAACAGTTTATGGGTTACGTAAACATGTTTAACCAGCAGCACAGTACCAGAGACACAGTGGGATTTTTCTAAATGCTTAATTTTAATAACAGACCATCCAAGAAGTCTGTGCTTAGGTTGAAGGTGCAGGTGTGCATTAGTGGCGGGATCAGGAAGGACATCCTGTCTTTGTTTATTTTGCATAAGCAGAGAAACTATGGAAGTTTTATTATGGTCAAATAGTCTGAACGTTTTGGCATTAATTGCGTAAATGTTTATTAGTTTTTAATTTTTAAAAGGGAATCTTCTTTGCGTCTGTTGACATCTACGTACAAAGTAATTCACATTAACTACTAACTTGTACCCCAGCCTTCATCATGGCTCTGGTAAAATCATGTTACTCTTAACATGAATTTCACCTGACTAGTCTCTACTAGTCAGGTGAAATTCATCCCCCGGGAAGCATGACCATACCAGGCTGAACTCACTTAAGATGGAGCGCCAATCCCTGGATCCCCCTTCACCCCCACACCTTACACTGCAAGGTTAGCCACAAATAGTTCTTGTCCTGGTGCTTGCTTCTTCCTCCCCACTATCACCATAGCCTTATCCACAGGAGATGAGCTGATCTTTTGGGTTATCTGTCCAATAGTGTAGATTATTGCAGAATTCAGATCAAATTAGGGCCCAAACTTGTGACTAACTTTATGCAAAGCCTCCAAGATGGCAGCCCAAACACTACAGTAAAGTAACTCCTCCGTCACTTCTGGATCTGAAGACTACATTACTATAAACATTCTGATCAGATGGCTAAACTGAAACAATAAAAATGCAGTTTAACAGCTGTCCAACTGCTCCTGTAGCACACACACCACCCTCTCCTCCGGTCCCGGCAACGTCAGGTGTGGTCAGCCTCCCCTGACACCACTACCCTCTCCTGCAGCTCAGCCACAAACCACAGCCACGTTGGAAGAGAAAAAGAATGCAGTTGATGGCTTTGCATTTGATTTTTCACTCTTTTTACAGGAAACAGAGGGCTGCACTCAGGACAGTGAAAATGAGGGACAGGCAGAGGGACAGCAGATGTTTCCATATAATGTGGCAGAATTTAAAGAAATCCTTCATTCCAGACGTTGGTTAGGATATTGTTTTGATGCAGATTTGCAATTTGTATGTTTGTTTTTGTTGAATCACTGGGACTTTAAGATTTACATTTAATCATTATATTTTTTGACAATGATGCAGTGTGAGAAATTGTTCAAGGCTGACATGTTTTCTGATTCCTCACATCTCCATCTTGTCTACTTAGCCCTCTTTTTTCTGGAGGAAGATGAAGCTCTTGAAGAAGCAATTCAGCGTAGCCTCCTAGAAGAGTCTGATAGGCCGAGTGCAGTTCATGATTCAAGGTAAGATTTCAAAGCAACCTTTGATCATTGGATATCTTATTTGCATCTTAACTTAACTCAGAGGGCAACTGGTCTGCAAAGCTGGAACTGGAGTGAGGGAAAGAGGAGTCATCATCCAGATCAGACTGCCATTAGCAGTCCAGACACCAGTGAAGAGGACGACACTAATTGGATGTTTTTTCATTTTCTTGTTTACTCAGAAAACTAAACTGTTACTCTAGAATTGCATATAAATGGTTTATGCACCATTTAAACAATTGTCATATATTTATGTTACTACTTATAACCACATATGAAACGTTGTACTTGATTCCATATATTTCCCACGCTGTACATGTTTGTCTTTAAAATAATGCCACATGCTGTTTGTTTGATGTACTAGAAAAATGAAGGACAATAAATTAATATTGAGTACAGTGGTGTCTCTAACTTATATAAGTTAGAGATGTAAGAAATAGAGATATCAGAAATATCTCTAACTTATAAGGGAAATATAAGGGAATTTACAAAATGTCTTACTTGCAGGAACCCAAAGAAGTGTTTTTGTGATAAACAAGTGTTTTAATTTGTACCAAAATAAAATTTAACTGAAGTATAAAAAAGGGCATGTCTTTTACGTCGTGCGTTTGCTTTTTTCTGCCTGCAAAGTCTGTAACATCTGGAGAAATTACTTTCTTTAAAACACTTGTCTTGTGATATCTTGTATAATGTTCACATATGTCCGCTAGGGGGAGCGCGTTGGCCACAGTTGGACAATTTAAATTGCAGTAAGGTATTTTTTTCTTGTGTAATCACGTTTTATTTTTATACCCCAGTGTTAATCCAGTCTTTGCATGTATTCCCTGGAAGATGCATTTGACTTTAATTGATTCAGTATTTATAATTCCTTATATCGTAAATACTGCATTGGTAATATGATGTATATATATTTTTTTCCTTAAATGCGCATGTGCATCTTTTAATTTTTAATTACCCAAAAGCTGTAACCATTAATTTAGAGCACAGCTTGCATAACTTCTGGACAATATGTTTTTCACTGAGTCATGACCAACCTACACTAGCTGAGGAGTGTCACTGTATATGGACATTATTTATCCATCATACATTCATGTATGACTTAACCTGTAATACAAGTGGGAAAAATCCACTAAATATAACCTACCATACTGTCAAAACTTCTGCTTCCAGCTAAAGCAGAGATCTGAATATATCGCCCAGATAAAAAGAAATAAACTAATAATAAACTAATGGGGTGCTTTGGCTGTATGTTTTGGGTCATTGTACAGATGTCACACTGCCCCCGCCAAAAAGGATCTCATGCAGCGGAGACGGAGAGCGCTAAACCTAAGGCCCGTTTCACTACACGGGAGAAAAATCCCAGACAGCTTCAGCTGACAGAGCTGTGACGAGACGCCCATTAAGCCCGGATGACATTGATGGCATTAACTCTGTGCAGGGCAGTGATGGAACATTAAAAACTACAATTTTCATGTGTTGAGCTTAGAATGAAACCAATTTTACCTAAATTGCATGATTTAGTACTGTCAATAGCAAGGAATCAAAAAAGGTGGTTATAATGGGTTTCAATTGGTCAAAAACGGCCACGCTAGAGGCAAGAGGAACAATTTGGTGTATAGTGTATATTATCGACATTATTAAGGAGCTGATGTTGAAAATTAAAAAAAAATCTGAAAAAAATATACGCCTTTGGGAAGTTTCATTCCATTTCCATTAAGAGAAAAAAGAAAAGTGAAGTGGGCACAAATGGCCACCATAGCGCCCAGAGGGTTAAAGATATATAGCACTTTAAAATAGCCAGCACAGGACCAAAGTGCTGCACAGTAAATAAGTTAAAAACAATAGAGTATACAAAACAGCAAAAATAAAAGAAAAGAAAATATATTTATATTTATATATTTATGCTGGGATTTGTTGACACCATGACATCATTGCATTCAGTTTTTATTCACAATTTGTTTAGTGTCCCAACTTTTTTGGAATGCGGTTTGTATATTTTATTTTTTATATATATATATATATATACACACACTGTGTGTCTATCTTTAATGTGTGCCTGCTTCCTGTGTTCACAACTCCTCAGTAAGTAAGTCAGCAAGTATTGGCTGTCCTAAAAGTTGCTACAACTCGCTAAATTACGTCATCGCCTCATTGGCACAATTGCTCATGCTAATGTCATTGGAACCTACCTACGGTGTAGGAGACAAAAATAACATCGTGGAAGGGACAGAAAGTGAGTGAAAAAACATCCCATTTCCAATTTATTTACAGCTACAAATTACATTTCTTTTACCAATTATTGGCTTTTTTAATGTCACAATCCCAACCCTACTCCTTTATCTGGGCTTGGACCGGCAAAGGTGACCCGAAATAGGAACTCTGGTGGAGTTACTTTGTGTGTGTGTGTTTATAAGTAGTAGTTGTGATCCACAAAACAACATAGCAGTAAAAGAAGAACTGACTGCGTTACAGTCAGTGCGGGAGCAGCGGCTTCGCTCATGCGCGATTCATTTGCAGTTTGGACGCATAGGTGAAGATCATTCCCAAGAGCCCTTTCAACGTGGGCGTGGCACCCACACTGGACCTCAGCAAGGTCAAAGTGACAGGTGTGGGAGACAGTATGTACCTCAGTGATTGTTTTTGGAAACTATAAAAAACACTATTTTAGTATCCTGCTGGTCATAATAAAGAAAAAAAACATGAGCTTCTGCATATTTTGGAAGAGTTTTGAGGGATAGTAAATGGAGCTAGAAATGACCAAAAACTGCCTCCTTTAAAGACTTACTGTTGTAAAAAAGAAAAAGAAAAAATCAAATGCTCTTTGGATTTTCACGACACTGCACCAGGAGTGATTTGGTACCTAGAAGAAATCCATATACAGCAATGCCTGTTCCACATTTCACAAAAAACTACAGCAATAATGACAAAAGGCATCAAACATTTAAAGTGTTTATTGAGCAAAATAACAAACCAATAAAAAAAATATTACTTGGAATATTTGATGATGGAGGAAATCAGATTTGGCCTGAATTTCAGCTGATATGTCCACAAATGCAATGTGTTGGAAATCAAAGCGTTACCTCATATGAAGGGTTGGAGTTTGTCCTGAATGCCTTGTGAGGCAGAGGCACTTTAGACGGAGGCTCAAGATAGCAGCACGTGGCGATAACATGGGCGTATCAGCCGCATCGCCACTTAGGAAGGTCCAGTGTTTGTGTGCTGGACTGGTGTTTGCACAGAGACAGATCTACATTTTATTCCAAATCACATCTTTATTGGTTCTCATCAAGAAATCGGTCACTCAAAGTTCCTCTCAAAGAAAGGAAAATCTGAAACTCTACATTCAGCCAACAAAAACCTCGACATTCATTAAAAAGTTTAGAAATCAGTACTTGTGACTGAATAACAGAAATGTAGGAAACCATATTTGATGAAGCCGCTTTCAGGTCCACGATTGCCAAAGTCATCAGAGATTTCAGTTCATTTATACTTTAGCTTGGTTTGTTTTTTTTCTTACAGTATTCAGCCATATTTTATCTAAGCATTGAACCCTTTAAACCCACCTTCCTCTTTTATGCAATAAATAAAAATATCAAACTCAGCTGATACTCCTTAAAGTCAGATTGGTGAAAGTGTAAAAACTAAGGGAGAATTTTGGTGCCTAAAAGGCCTTAAACAACATTTGCCTTGTTGGTGAAGCAATAAAGTAAAATGTGTTTTTTCTCTGAGGAAATTTCCAAGGAGGGGTGAAGTGAAAGCACTCTGAGCCACAGCTGCTTTCAATTGTAAACAGCAAACTGATGTGGAAAAGGTTTAGCTAAAGAATAATCAGATTTCAGGTCATAAATGCAATAAAACAAACAAACAAACAAAAAAAAAACTACCAATAAACCGCAAATATTCATCTTTCTAGTTCTTCATTTTTTTCCTCCCTCTCAGGCTTTCGAGCTGTCAGAGTACGTGGGGAGCTTCAGTCCTCCCACTGAGTCGGGGCGCTCACACGAAGATCAGAAATGCTTCAGCTGAAATGAGAAAAGCTTCTTGTTCTGAGCACAGCTTTGTCCTCTAGTCGCCCACTCTCAGAGCGGGGCGAGCTGCTGTGATTGGCTCTCATCTTTCCACTGCCCTCCTGCGGGACACCTGAGAGTGGATATGATTGGCTGGGGGTGACTGCATGGGGGGAGGCTCCCGGGGTCAGGACTGTATTGTTCCCTTTAGGTACCACATCCCTGCGTGGCTGCTGCAGCACTCCTGAAAACCAGACAACAGGTTAGATCAGTGGACAACATCTGGTTGAAAGGCAGACGTTGAGACTCAGAACTGGGCTCACATTAAGCAGCCGGTCGATGTCAGCTTTAGACACGTCTCCAAGCTCCTGAGCCAGTCTGGCCTGGATTATGTTCCTCCTGACCCGGTAGTTCTTGGTGAACACATCATAGAGCAGCCGGCGGTGCTGCAGGGAGAACAAAACCACACAGAAGTATGAATTCAACTCTGCAGACTGCAGCTGAAACACCTGAAGTGAGCAGACTACCAACATATAACAAGGTGGTAAATACATCAGAGGGTTGCTTGGGCGCACTGGTGGTATAAAAGACATACAGAGCTTCTGGGTCTTAAGTGTGAAACTGCACAGAAGTGCCTTAAACCTTCATTCCTTCTAATGGGCACTGACTTCCAGTCCTATACAAATTTCAAGGAAAACGCCCCTCTGCCCCATGTAATCATGTTTTTAGTTTAATAGGCTCAGTCACTCATCTGAGGTCATCTTGCATAAAAGAAAAATATGGTTCACTTTGGGAAATTTTGGTCATATTATGTCTCAGAGAGGAGGCTTATCCTTGGGATTAGCTAATCACTTGTGACTGACAAGACATGAGTACGTGAGCCAAGATGGGGATGGCAGAAAATAAACAAGATACGGTGGCCAAAATGCTAAAACTGATCCCCAAAACAGGATTTTACAAACCAATGGGTGACACAGTGGCTTCACCCATCTTTTATGTACAGTTTGTAGTTAAATCTTAATATCACTAAATCAGCACATTAGGAAATATGGATAAATTGCAAGACTGGGTCAGTAGCAGCTTGTTTTTGTAACTCCTGGCAAAAGAAATGCTTTCACATGTAACAACGCATAAAAGCACAACTTGTTTGATGTAATCGGCTAAATTCAGTGGCTTGTTTTATTTCTCCTTGTTTCCAAATGCTGTGCTGAGCTAACTAAGTAGTGGCTATATGATATTTATTGGTCCCTTTTTAATTCTGCACTAGCGTTTTAAACAAATTAGCAATGCCACACACTGATTGACCAAAGCAAGTCTATGTCAGAAATCGAAGAAAACACTTCACAGAACTGCATCTTACTTTAGTGTTGCAGTCAGACGCAATCGTGGCCCACACTGAAACATCACTGATTCATTAAAAAATAATAATAATAAATTATTTTTTTAAATTCTTGTGAAGTTCAGCGATTGCTGTGAGTGTTTACCTTGTCGAAGTCCTCTCCGGTCTCCCACAAGCCAAACACCTTTTGTTCATCTGGGGCTGCTTTGGTCTGAGCAGGAAACTGAAGTTAGAGGGAAACAGAAATGTTAGGCAGGAGGATTTGATCCTTAAACCTGCTCTTAGCTCAACTGCCTGCTCAGACGGAGTCTTCTGAGATTATCTGGACTGTGTGGAGTGCTACACTCTGTAGCTGAAAAATGAAACAACAGTTCCTCTAATGATCACCTGAGTCTGGCTTCACAAACTAGCAAAACACAAATACAGAAGCTTCAAAGTGCAAACTGCAGAGACCAGCGGGTGGCTGTGTCCATCTTTGTGTACAGTCTATGTTTCAGCCATGATCTGAGTATCATGTTATGAAACAGTGTTGTTTTTCCTCATCATTTTGGTTTGAACTTTGAAAATTCTCACATCACTCTTTGACATATTTAAACAAACTAATTTGAATATGATGAATATGTAGCCAAAGGGGCAACACCTTCCTGGTTTCTTTGCAGAGTACTAACGAATCATGTTGGATCAGGCTTTGGTTGTATGCAAGTGAGCACTTTGTGTGGAGGGCAAAGGAAGAGCTGCAATTGCCAAATAGCATCATAAAAACATCTGCTACTAACTGCTCTAACTACTCTTTGTTTCTTATTCTTATCTGCATTTTTAAAGAAACAAAGTCTTGGCCCAGATTACTCAAAACTACTCTTGCTGCTCATAAACCCCTGAAAATGTTGTCATCACCCTCAGAGTCTAAGTCTAGATTCTCTGTGGGTCAACAATAGGTGAGACGAGATGAGTTCAACTGTAGCTAGACACTGGTTTACAGATTGTTGCAGCTTTAAACAAAGTCTCTAGTTAATAGCCAAATGTCCCATTAAAAACCATTTTAGCAGCATGGTTCAGTCACATGTTGTTTGCTGAGTGTATATAAACTTCTCTCTGCGGTGCTGATGTTCCTCACAGATTGATCATATGCTGAAAGACTAAATTCAGTGGTCGGGCTCAAGTCAGGCCCGAGGCCCTTTACAGCATGTTCTCCTACTCGCTCGCTCCGCTGTCCTGTCTCCTCTTCACTGCACTAACTACTAAAGACCCAAACACCTAAAAATAATAATAAAGAAAAAAACCTCTTTATAGTAGCTCAAAAACAAAAATGAGGGAGGCGCCATCTAGTGGCACTATTCTGCAATTGCACTTTGCAAGTAAACTGCCTCTCTTATACACTCAACAAAAATATAAACGCAACACCTTTGTTACTGCTCCCATTCCCCATGGGATGGACGTAGAGACCTAAAATTCATTCCAGATACACAATATAACCATCCCTCCCAAACAGTGGTCACAAATCAGTCCAAATGTGTGGTAGTGGGCACATCTGCTATATTGAGATAATCCATCCCACCTCACAGGTGTGCCACATCAGGATGCTGATCTGACATCATGAGTAGTGCACAGGTGTACCTCAGACTGCCCACAACAAAAGGCCACCCTGGAATGTGCAGTTTTTTGCGCTATTGGGGGTCTGGGGACCCAGAACCGGTCAGTATCTGGTGTGACCACCATTTGCCTCATGCAGTGCAACACATCGTCGCATGGAGTCTATCAGATTGTCAATTGTGGCCTGTGGAATGTTGGTCCACTCCACTTCAATGGCTGTGCGAGGTTGTTGGATATTCGTGGGAACTGGTACACGCTGTCGTATACGCCGGTCAAGCACATCCCGAACATGCTCAATGGGTGACATGTCCGGTGAGTATGCTGGCCATGCAAGAACTGGGACATTCTCAGCTGCCATCTGCCCTGAACAATGTGAACCATGATTCATCCGTGAAGCGCACACCTCTCCAACGTGCCAGACGCCATCGAATGTGAGCATTTGCCCACACAAGTCTGTTACGGCGACGAGCTGGAGTCAGGTCAAGACCCCGATGAGGACGACGGGCATGCAGTTGAGCGTCCCTGAGACGGTTTCTGACAGTTTGTGCAGAAATTGTTTGGTTGTGCAAACCAATTGTTCCAGCAGCTGTCTGGGTGGCTGGTCTCAGACGATCTTGGAGGTGAACCTGCTGGATGTGGAGGTCCTGGGCTGGTGTGGTTACACGAGGTCTGCGGTTGTGAGGCCGGTTGGATGTGCTGCCATATTCTCTGAAACGCCTGTGGAGACGGCTTATGGTTGAGAAATGAACATTCAATGCACGGGCGACAGATCTGGTTGACATTCCTGCTGTCAGCATGCCAATTGCACGCTCCCTCATTGCTTGTGGCATCTGTGGCATTTTGCTGTGAGACAAAACTGCACATTCCAGGGTGGCCTTTTGTTGTAGGCAGTCTGAGGTACACCTGTGCACTACTCATGATGTCAGATCAGCATCCTGATGTGGCACACCTGTGAGGTGGGATGGATTATCTCAATATAGCAGATGTGCCCACTACCACACATTTGGACTGATTTGTGACCACTGTTTGGGAGGGATGGTTATATTGTGTATCTGGAATGAATTTTAGGTCTCTACGTCCATCCAATGGGGAATGGGAGCAGTAACAAAGGTGTTGCGTTTATATTTTTGTTGAGTGTATATCATGTGGCCTGAGAATGCCTCGGGATCCTCTAGGAGGAGCTGCGAAGCACTGATGGGGAGAAGGATGTGTGGGATATCCTGCTTAGTCTGCCTCCAGCACAACCAAACTGTGTTTAAGAGGAAGATGATGGATGGTTAGAAGTTATTACGTAGATGTTTAGATAAAAGTCCACTAAACCAGACTCCAGATGTTCGGATTAGCCATTTCTACTCTTGCACAGCAACAGCCAAAACATTTCTGTGATAATTTTGTGCATTTCATTCCAATAAACGACATACAAAAAAGACTCACAGGCACCATTATCTGTTTGCACTGTTGGCTGAGCAGTATGGCGTCCTGTAGCATGTGATCTGAGATGGAGTGGAAGACGCTCCGGCCGACCGGTATGGACGCCACGTGGAGGTTAAACAGCCTCTTCAGCTCATTCAACGTGATCACAAAATGCTTCCGGAAAGTCTTTATCACAAAGTCCTGCAGCTCCGGGGACGCCGTGTTGGCGGGACTCCCTCCGTTGGTGTGATCAAAGTCGGGGGAGGTGGCACTGGGGTAACCATTGAGAGAACCGTTGGGGATTGAGGAGGAGCAGGATGTGTCCATTGGCTCGTCTTCACTGTTGCTGACGGGCTCCTGTTTGATGTGGATGCTGCTTCCTGCGCGTCTGTCCTCCAGGTCCTTCTGCAGAGTCGACTGGTTTTCTTGCACTCGCTCCTGAGCCATCTTCAGACGCTGTTGCCCGCTGATGTGGACAGGATCTAGAAAACACCGCATAGATCACTTGAATAAGCTCCGCAGAGTATACCGATATCATTTCAGGGGTGTTTGACAAAATGTAACTCAGTACAAACCAGGCTGAGCGGACTTCTTTGGCACAAAGTCTTCTTTAGAGAAATTAAACACCTTTTCCAGCCTTCGGGAAAATAAACAAGCCAGATTATTCCACTGCAGCAAAAACATTTAATAGTGCTAAACTACTGATGTGTCCTTTCAACGTGTCGCTTACTTGCTCTGGATGCCAAGCCACAACATGTTCTGCCTGTGGGCAACATCTGGGTGTTTCTTAATAAAGTCTACATCAGTAGGCAACAGGAACTCCCAGCCCCGGTTTGCCCGAGGAGCTGCCACATGTTCCAGGAACTCTTTCACGTCTTCTGGGGGAAGCTGAAGGAAGAAGGAGGAAGGTGTTAGCTCTCTTTACCTGAATGTACCGAACAACTTCAGCTTCCAGGTCACAAATGCAAAAGAAAGCAATACACTGAGGGACATTAAAGACCCAACAACAGCATCCTTCCACATCCTGATTGTCGAGGATGCAACACAACTTAAAGGACTAATTCAAAGTGCAATGAACCTCTAATTAAAAATAAATAAATAAAAAACGCAGCCTAAGCAATTAACTTTGCACAGCTACTTCTCCTGAGCCATTTCGGTTACTAACAAACAGAAACATTGAATCAAGCATCTCATTTTGGTCTCGTCCTTACTTTGATGATTGATGCAATCTCCTTTCTCATCACAGAGCGCTCCAGAGTGAACCTCCACATCTACGAAATGAAAAGATGACTTAAACTGTGCCTGTCAAGCATTATGCTGTAGCTTAATTAAAGGAGGAACAACTGAGAGAAGCTCACCACAAAGTCTCTGCCACGACAGAGCACCTCAGCAGGAACACCACTGTGAGCACTGAAGGTGTTTTTGGGATACAGAACATCACTGTGGAGGAAAATTTAAAACCCACATCAGTCATTTCCCACTCAATATAAAAACATGGAATTAGACAAGACCTGCTTGACCTGTGGTTCATTTTAACGTTTCAGTTAGATAAAAGATTCCTGGTCTTACCTCTTGATAACCCAGTTCCCCTGAACCAGCAGCGCCACCTGTTGGATGCAGCGCAGCACTGAGGTCGAGTCTGTGCCAGACGCGAGCAGGCCCATCAAATTAGCAAATGGCATTACCTTCACTGGAGAGGAGAGACAGCGAAATGAATGGTAGGATGATGATGTTGCCGTTTATGCTTTAGTGCCCCCACGTGGTACAAAGAAAAACTGCACAGGAAATGTTGAGTGCCATGGATGTTTGCATGTGTGTTAAAAAATAATAATAACAATACATTGTAAAAAAATTAATTAAAAAAAAGCTGTTCTTTATCATGTTATCCTACCATTCTTCATCAGAGTCTTGACTTGCTCTCCGAGTGGCAGAGTGCGGAGCTGGGCCATAGAGAGCACATTACTGGGACCCACAGGCTTCACCCTGACAGAGAGGAAAGCAAGTTAATGATACGATTCACAGACTGTCACTGAGTTGGCATGCAGATGTACGTGCCAGAAGAGAGGGGCACACTTACACTTTCTCCTCTGCAAGAGGCGGCATCAACATCGCCAGATACTCCCTGAGAAAATGAGAGAGGAGTGAGAGAGGAGAACAGAACAGCAGCAGAACTAAAACTGCATCAACATACAGCTCATCAGTGCCTAAGAAATAAACTACACATCCAATTTAATTCAGATAATAAAAAAGCACAAGTATCAAGAAGTTATTTATTTGTACTCACTTTGGAGTTTTGACCAGTTCAGAGTTCTCCGAGGCATCCACTGACTGACAGAACAGGTACTGCCTTTCATGCTCCGAGCGCCCGCCCTGAATTCGATATTGCAAACACAAACTGCTTTATGATGATGCATAACCAGCACAAATCTCATAACGTCAGCGCTCATGAAAGGAGACAAATTCATCCCAATGGTGAGTACTCCCTCTACCTTGACTCCGTGATAGGTCAGGTGAACCCAGGGCTCCTCCGCCTGCTTCTTCTGAAGGAACTCGTATGACTGGATCCTCCTCTGTCTGGCCTGCTCCGACTCGGGACGAGCAAACCTCACCTGGAGCACGAGCAGGAGAACTTAAATCAGTGTAATTATGATAATGGATTGCATTTTCACTATTCATTCACTCTCACATTCACACACTGGTGGAGGCAAGCTACAGTTGTAGCCAGACTGGACAGACTGACAGAAGCAAGGCTGCCAACACCAGTAGGCGGTAGGGTAAAGTGTCTTTACCCTGGTCTTTACCAAGGACACAACGACCAGGACAGACAGCCCAGTAACCTTCCGGTTACAGATACGCTTCCCAACCCCCTGAGCCACGGTCGCCTGAGCTTGACCGTAAGTGTTTGTGTTTAAGCATTTACCGTAATAGCCTTGGCTTCCTCCTCAGCTTCATCCTGGGAGGAGTCTCCACCTGTACACACAAGACTCTGGTCAAATAACTGTAATCATACCTGCTCCTACCATGATGTTTGAGGAAACATCTAAAAATAAACATATAACATGCTTTAAAGCAGGGATGGGGAATTAATTTCTCCAAGGGGCAAATATTAAAAAACTGGGACTGTTGTGGAGGTCCACACCAATAAACCCTCCACAACAGTCCCAGTTTCTTATAACTGCCACTTGGAAAAATGTAAAGAAGAGCTACAAACTCATTTTATTCATTCTTAACTTCAGTAAGGATGACATTTGGCAGCCTCCCTTGTACCCTAATAGAAAAGTGTAAAACCTCAGTGAAGAGTTTCTGGGGTTTTCCCCAAGGCTGGCTGCATAGGCAGAAACTATCCTCACTAACATCTGATGCACACACACAGTCATTTTGTTCTGTAAGCAGGCATGGAATACGACAAAAATCACTCAGTTCAGGAAACATCAAGGTTTTCTAGGAGTAAACGATTAAGGTTTTCAAACAAAAGATAAACTGTGTATACTAAATAATCCTTCTCAGAATTTAATCTGGAAAACAAGAAAAGCAGGCACACCTTCATTGGCCGCCTCCCTCTCTCTGGTTTTGTTGTCGGCCTTGTCCAGGTAAGAGAAGCTGGGCCTCATCTGAAGAATTCCAGTCAGAGGTGTGACGTGAAGCTCACCTGTTAACGCCATCAATAAAACAACCAGGTCATAAATCCTACTCTGATTGGAGTGGACTCATCATAATATGTGTGGTTCAATGGCTGATTGTTTTTATCTTTTGGTGCGAGGTCACAAAGCCAAAACACAAACATGGTGCCACAATGTACTATACGGGCTGCTGAACCCGTTAATCAGGTCAGACCTTTGCGAAACACAGCAGCTGCGTATCTGGAGGTGTTGGTGGTGGCCTGGATGGAGGAGAAGGTCTGCTTGTCCATCATTTTACTAGAAAGGGGGAAAAAACTGAACAGTCAGACCAGAAGCAGGACCTGAATCAAAGAAGAATGTATAAATCAAAGAACATACGCAGAGTAGGTGTTGGTTTCGTCATAACCCGTGCCGTCCACATTTAGGGCGATTTGCTCTCCTTTACTGCGACAGTAGTTTGGACTCACTGTGTCCATGGATATTTCCAGCTCCACCTGTATAAGGAGCCGTACATAAATGATAAACAACTACAAACACCCGATTTAATGACTTTCAACATTTCTGAAAACTTGTAATACAAAAAATCTTATCTTATAATTTAACCTGATGTAACCAATTAACTTGAGAAATTGGTGATTTCCAATACTTTAATATTTCCTCCTATTCACACATCTCCCCTGAAACAGAAACACATTTTCAACAAAACACAAAATACATCAACATCAAGTTTCTGATTACCTTTTGCTGCTTGGGTTTGATCTTAGCCGCCAAGTGGGTGACATCATCATAGGTCATGGTGGCTGGTCGCACAGGGTACTGCATCAGGGGAAAGCGGTGAACTCAATTAGTGACTCTTTGAACATTAAACATCAATCACACCCCAGACGGTCCAGATAAGTTAGAGAAACTGCTCACATGTGGGCTCGTGAGGTCGTGCTCATCAGTGCACGGGTACTACAAAGGGAAAAGCTCACCTGGAAAAGATACAGCTTATCTGCGAGGCTTTTGGCGAGGTACACGTCGATCTAGAAAAAACACAAACATAGATCAAAGTCAAACAGGCTGACGTCAGGAGCCAACAGCCAAACCAGACTTTCCTCCAAAGTTCCCGAACTCAGGGTCATAGCAGGGTGAGAGGTTGGGTACACCCTGGACAGGTCGCCAGTCTGTCGCAGGGCTAACACAGAGAGACAGACAAGTAGGGCTGCAGCATTTGAATATTTAAGTAATTCAGTTTGCCTGTCGACTCAGAAATCGAATGAAACTCACAACACACCTGGCAGAACATCATGTTATTTAGCTCATCATATTCCAGCCACAGAAATTCTTTTGTCCATGAAACCAAAAAAGCTGCGCTTTCTTTTTGCCTCATAGTCTGATTTGTCATAACTGTTCCGTTTTGTGGTCGGCATTTCTTTGGCTGCCCCTTCTTCACCCTGACCTCTCTTATTTGGCTGAGCAGAACTAAAATACCGGCGTAAATCCTGCTGCTTTTACACACGCACTCACATAAGCTCAGCGATTCTCTGCGCGATCAACCTCTCACATGTTTAAGCTTGCTGCGGGAGATTTCACTTGTCACGTTTGAATAGTAAGCTAATGAGTGATAAGACGATGTCAGAGGAATTGGTGCGCAAATTATCGTTACTCACCAATCAGTGCTGTCGCTCTCTACACACCGTTCACGCGATCGCAAAGTAAAGTGAAAGCATAAAACAAGCGCAAATTCAAACGTGATTTCAATGTCACATATTGACAGTGGCTCATCGATGTCAATGACAGAATTACTCAGCTACATTTTCGAAAGAATGCAAAAGCATTGACATATATTTTTCCTTCCTATGATAGCCCGACGGGCAGGGCTGAGATAGATTTTGGTAGCCCGACTGGAAAAAATCGCTAGCACTGGGACGTCGAGCTAGCAATTTTGCGAGCCCTGTTTTTTTCTTTGATTCTAAACATTTTGTTAGGAGAGCCTTTAAATAAATATGGCTTAGTACACCCCATGCCCTCTTTAGATTCACCTCTGTGTGCTGCAGGTATCACTGCAATACAAAGTATTAAAGTTGTCTTCAGACTTCGTTAGCAGTTAATCCGCATAATTTAATGTAACGCCTGTAGCCTCTTTGTGGTGCGTTTATGTAGACAGAGACAGCGTGTCTTTGGGCTGTGGGTCGAGCACTCTGAGAGAACATGCAAAACCCACAGAAAGATACTAAATTCGAACTCATGACCTTCTTGCTGAGAGGCAGGAGTGCCTCACAACTAACCACCGTGCCACCAAGTAAATAATAGATTATTAAAATCAGCCGTGTCTCCACTTAGTTCAAACAAATCTTTTTCCTGCTGAAAAATCAGCTGCCAGAAGTAGTCAAGCCATGATCACTAAGCAGTTAATGAACTGTGTCCCTGTCAAGTTGAAAGGCACTGTAGAACCTTCAGCACCAATTACTAAAGTACATATTTAAAGTCATTAAATATGTATGCTGTACAATCATTCCACCCTGAAAAATGATCACTTCAAAGAAATAATTAAAAGCCAAAAATTGCCAATGACGACTATATGTAAAATTCACACTACAACTATGAGTATAAACGCTGATATTTGCTGCCAGGTGATTTCATTACCTGTTAATACACCTAACAGAGACTATGCATGGAAAACACCTGGGAACTGTTTACTTCCCGTGAGGCTGTTCACACTGATAAACGCAGAACAGCAATAAAAGGTGCACAGGGCAGAAAAAATGCTGTATCATACTTTATTAGGTCAGTGAGACGTGTAATATCCTTTCACTTAAGGCTGTAAACATACCTCCTCTATAATGGGGTCGTCATCATCACCGCTGGCCATGTTGATGTGATCAGAGCAAGAAGGTGAGATGGGCAAATCTTGGGGGAGAGGGGAAGGGGGTGCAACCTGGAAAAATAAAAAACAAACTGGGTCACAGGAGCTAAATGTCCGGCTGCACACTCCTGTTACTGTTATGGAGTGGCTACACCCAGGCAGGCAACAAAGGCACCAGATGACAGGAACTTAGTGATCCTGCACATCACAGTTACATCACAGTTCAATCAGGAGGTGTCAGTATTGGTAATAGCCGATACTCTTCAATTAACTCAACAAGTAAACCATAAGATGCTAAAGTAGTCAACTTCCTATGGTGATTGTGCCGCCTGTCATGTGAAGCTTTCACGGACACACGTAAAATCCACATGATGCAACACAGCAGTAAAAGACTCCTCCTCGTGGAAACATAACCCTATCAAACACTGTGTCAAGCTAATAAAAAAAAAGTATGACGCCAATTTACTGGCTGCCTATATAGAGTGTTTATGGTTAAGTTAGCTCCATTAGCAGCAAACCCTGCGAGCATTTATCACAGGGCCTACACAACACAGCGGGTGCTTTTTTTTAATTCCTATGTAAAAACAACACCAATATAAAGAAGATAGGATACACAGCACTAAGCTGAAGATGTCTGTTTCCTGTAAACAAACGTACAAGCAACAATATTAGCTACCAAGGCGGTAGCTAGCAAATGTAGCCTAGCGTGAGCTAGCTTAGCATGGCGTGCTTAGTTAAAATAACACAGATTCAATCAGCGGGCCTGATTTTAACTCTTCTTTATGTAAGAATAGCAGATTCCTCCCTCACCTGCACACTTCACCGTTCAGCTTTAGCTATCTCATCCGGGTGTAGCTAGCCCAGGAACGTGGTGCGGAGAGCTGCTGCTGAAGTGGAGTTTAACTCAAGACAGCTGTAGTCTACTGCTGCTGTGATACCATGTTGACTCTGCTCCACACAGACACGTGGGGAGGAGCCCGCGCCCATAATGCACAGCGAGTCCGCTTGTGTCATTATTTTAGTACGCTGTTCATTCATAACCAACTACCCCTAGGTATTACCTAGGTATTACTTGTGGACAATTTAAGTTTTCAGATAAAATTGTTTCGCGAATAGAACGGGAAAAACATATTCTGGCAGCGGTGGGATTCGAACCCACGCCCCCGAAGAGACTGGAGCCTTAATCCAGCGCCTTAGACCGCTCGGCCACGCTACCGTTGTGATAAAATACATTGAAACAGAGGCTAATAGCAAATATAAAGCCTCCTGACTATAAAGTTTGGGTTGTACCCGTTTTAAATGGACTTCAGACAAAAATGATGTAATATGAAATCCAAGGACATGCAAAATATACCCTGAAGTCTCCTGGGAAATTAAAAATTGTGTTTTTTATTATTGCACTTCTATTAAGTTCGTTTTTTGAGACTGCAGCAGCAAATACAGGATAAACGTGTCCTCAATAGACAGAGAGGAGCCGTTACAGACTTTAACTTCAAATCACGTCTGCAGCACAGAGTCAGCCTTGCTAATCAGCTTCCTAGTGTGAGTGGAGCTGCTGTTAAGACAGATAGCTACAACAAAAAAAGTGCACGTCGTACGTACGTCATCTGTTTGAAAACCTCATGTTTATTTTGAAAAAAATTACTCTTGCCATTGTGGTCAATTAAAATATACTACAGCTTAATCTTTTTCTTAGTTGACCATCAAAATTTTCTTTCAAGGGATTTGCTTTGCCCATGTGGGCCACTGCATATTTCTTGTAAGCGGATTTTGGGGGCTTCTTTCTTTGTTGGACCCTCTCAGTTCATGATGTAAAACCTGCACTACAGCAGTTTACAGTTCATCACAGGCTTGAAACTTAGCGATTCCAGATTATACCGACCAATCTTCCTCTTCTCTGAGGATAATAGTATGGGTCTTCTTCCAGAACTTGGCAAAGTGGTGACAGAGAAAACTGCAAAGAAAAACAAGACTAGTGAGCTGAAGCATTTACTTGTTTTCTTTTGTCCCATAACCAATCTGACTGCAAATTAACTTATTTTAGTTAATGGTGCAAAAAACTAAGGTAAATTGTTTCTGTTATGACACTCACAAAACACCCTCATTTTAGGTTACAAGAGTCCTTCCACTAGTTAGAAAAATCACAACAGGATCATGATTGGTAAAAAGAAAGGCAAACTTTTATTTTACAGTTTCATATTCCAAGCACTTTTCTTTATCACACATATTCTCTTAAACATAAACATGTTAACATCTGCGTCAAAATAAGTAAATCTTTTTTTGATAGGTCAGACCTTTTCATTCATAGAATCACATTAACTTAACTCTAAAGGTTAATATAGACATGAAATGAAAGAAATGAGGAGCCAGGAAATCTAGCTTTACAACCATACAGAAAGAATCCTGAAGATAAAAGTCTGATGCTGAATGGCTCAACACACACCAAACGCGCACACAAACAAACCACCAACACCAAAAAAATCTGTCATAAAAACAGTAATGTAAACTGAAGTCATTCAGGTTTTACCCAGAATGTGTAAAAAAAACAAAAAAAGAAAGAAAAACAGCCACACATCAAGTCTCGTGGCCTTTTTGGAGGTTAAAATAAATCTCTTTTATGTTGTGGAGTTACTCCTCCATTTGTGCCCAGGCTTCTTCAGCTTTCATGTAGTACTGGTTAGCCAGTCGACCCTTCATGGCCGCCATGGCGGCTTCTGCAGCTTCAGTAAAAAGGTCACCTGCAGGAGAGAGACAGAATGAGATGTTACAGGCAGTCGCTCCACCAAACAGAAATGAACCCCAACCCCACGACCATCATGTGAGACTAAAGCTTCTCCGTGCCACAGATCAAAATCACAAGCCCTACTGCTTCACTGGGAAAACGGTCAGACAGAAACTGGTGTACGATTTCTTGAAGTTAAAATTCTGCACTCGGCATCGGGTTGAACCTGCTCTCTGTGGGTCTGCGGCGAGGTTGTGGCCTCCCTCCTGGTACATCTCTGCCTCTCTGGCCAGCAGAAGGTGGCGAGGCTCGTCCTGGGTCCCATCGAACTCTCCTCCTTCGTCGTAGTCCATCATGTTCAGCGCACTGTTGTACCAGTGAACCGCCTCGGCCCAGTCCTGCTTTCTGTGAAGGCGAAAGGATAAAATGCTTTAACTCACAAATCACCACCACTTAAAAAAAGCAACTGTAAAAATCCAACCGGCCACAAGAGGGAAGTACTATCAAGCAAAGGCAGGATTCCTACGTTTTACCTGAAACATCTGCTTTGAATGAACCTTCACTCACCTGTCAGCAGACAGACCGACTCCAGTATCAAAGGCTCTGGCCACTATGATCATAGAAGATCTGTCGCCAGCCTCAGCAGCCTGCAGCAGATACTTGAAACCTCTCATCCTGTTTCCTGCATTATCCTGCCAACAACACACACACACCAGAATATAAAGCCACCCTGTGAAGTTAAGCTCAACAAAAGAAAGGAAAATAGATGGCGCACAGTACCTCCAGCTCCATGTCTGGCAGTATATGATGAGGTAGCTGCAGACAGCACTGTCCCAAAGCTACGATGGCCTCCAGTTCTCCACACATGGCAGCTCTCTCCAGGTGGTACATGGCCGACTCCTGGTCCCATTGTTCGTCCTTCTCGCAGAAACGACCCGCTTCGTGGTACCGGACCATAGCCAAGTGGACCTGGGTGGGAGATAAAGAATATAAGCGCTTGAAGCATGCAGAGCTGCCTCATTGTGTTTGGTTTGCGATAGGAGGAGTTTGGACTGAACTGAATGCTTAGAATCAAAGAAAGATTTCAAAAATTGTAACAATGTAAGTGTTTTTAGTGTTGGTGGGACCAGAGTTAAATAGTGGCACGGAAACATTAAATTAACTAATGTTTCCTCCTCTTACTTTTCCAAGAATCGACTGGCCGATCTTCTTCTGCAGCAGATTGTTGAGTCGTTCCACCTCGGTGGCCACACAGGAAGGTCGGTGGACGTGAGCGCGGGATGAGTGATAGAAGGTCCACTTCTCCTCGGTCAACTGAACAGAAGCAGGCACCAAAGATCCAAGAAAGAAGAAAAGGACCAAAAAAGTTACCATCTGATATTCACTGCAAGAAATATATTATGGTTGAAAAGTCACACTGCAGTCTCAGAGGTGTACCCATCCAGGAAAGTCTGCTTTGAGCTCAGAGATGGATGAGTACATCCCTGTTAATGCAAAAGGAGCGCACATACAGACACACACACAGTTATAGAAGTGAGAATAAGCGGGATGGCAGAGCAGGCGAAGGTAAAGGAGGTAGATGGTGTTTCAGTTCCAAGTATCACTTTTTATCTCCATTTGTATTTTCCAATTGTTTTCGTTCACTAAATAAATAAAGCAGGCGTCAACAGGAAAATAGCGACAGCGAGTTCAATCCACACAAATCGGAACCGTTTGAAAAGCAGAGCCATCATGCTGGAGGCAAACATTATGCTTCACGGCTAAAAAAAGACTGCAAAGCGCTGCACAGGGAAACACCTGGCTCAGGAGCTTCCATGCAAATAATCACCCATTCGTTGTCAGGAGTGTTTGAGTTTAAGTTCGCAGAGACTCTTGGAGGAGTTACCATCTTCCTCTAGTGAGGGGAAACAAAGTAGGAGGAGTGGAATTAGAGGAGAGGTAAGGAGGGGCTTTCATGGTTAAACAAGTGATGGGAAAACAAAAGTAAAGATGATGTTCAAAGGGAAATTAAAGTAGGGTTATTTGATTAAAGTGGTGATGATGATGATTATGAACGAGGTGAGGAAGGGATTTAGGGATATTTATGTTTCTTTACCCGTCTGACACTTTCCTCGTCCGATTCTGAATATTGTCTGTTGTAGCGATGATGGATCTATGTGACAATATGACACGGACTGTAAAACCAGCTGTCACGAAATCTAACAAGTGTTGAATAAGTGCATCGACGGGGCATGATGAAGCTCATTTCAGGTAATATGCAAGAGGACGTTCACAAACTGGATCCAAAAGCGGGATTTGGATCACAGGAAAAATACATTTAATGATTAACTAAAAGCTTCCTCTGTCCATTTCTGTTGAGCAGTGACAAAAATCTTTACCCCGTCTATGTGGTCATTTGGGTCTCCTTCACTCCTCCTCTCGCTCGGGTAGCCGCTGTCCCCGCCGTTTTCTGATTCCTAAAGACAAAAATTAAGACAAGAATTTCTGATTCCTGGTGGTAAACTTTTGTCAACAAGTCAGCTACACAGATATAGTTTTAAATAATGTAAGTAATGCTGTTAATCAATGTGAAGCTTGGGGTTGGGGGAGTGATGATGCAGCGCTCTTTGTTTTTTTAAATGTGCTTTCTTTCATTGCTTGTGCTGGTTAGAGCCACTCTCACCATCAGTTTTTACTTACCCTGTGTTCGCTTGTGTTGCTTATTCTGTCGTGTTCATACATTCCGATAAAAGACGAGCCTGTAAAATTGAAATAAAATGCAAAACCATTCACCACTTTAGCTCCTCAGTATGTAAGCTATGTCTGAATACTTGTGTATCTCAAGATATCTCTAGATACCTCTGCTAGCAAATTTCCAGTAACATACAATGACATAAATGTCTATACTAATCTGTCTACTAACTCGACATGAGTACTGTCAACGCTGAAATCCTCCTTCTGGCTAAAAATAGTGTGGCGGGGCGTGGCCTGCGGTGCCGTGCAGAGGAGGCGGACGCACCTGCACGGCATCCGCAATCACGCCCCGCCGAATTAAATATTGTACTGGGTCCTGTGGTTGGGTTGTTGGTGTTATGTTGAGCTGGAAGCGGGAGAGCTGCAGCTCTGAGTGCGAATGTACAGCAACCGTGTAGGGATTAATAAAAGCATCAAAATGCCACTGGGTCTGCCGTGGTCGTTTACAGTGGTGCCGAAACCCAGGACGGGAGGCACGGCAGATCCAGGAGTGGGCCAGCAGAGGGAGGACCTGGCGAGA